CAGTGGTGCATTTAGTCCATTCACATTCAGACTAATTATTGAGATGCAAGAGTTTATCCCTGTCATGAGATTCTTATAGAGTTTGTTGTTGTTGTTTGTTTGCTTACTTGTTGTCGCTCTTTTGATTTTTGGTTTGATTTATGTGTGTTTTAAATCTTTTTCCTGCATTCTTGGGAAGGACATGGTCATTCTTTTCTTTTCTTTCTCCTGTGTTTAATACTTTCTTAAGTGTTTCTTGTAGAGCTGTTCTGGAGGCGGTGTAAACTCCTAGTGATTGAATGTCTGAGAAGGATTTTAATTATCCATTTCTGATGAAGTTTAGCTTAGCTGGGTAGGAAATTCTTGGTTGAAATTGTTTATCTCTGAGAACTTTGAAAATTGGACTCCAGTCTCTCCTAACCTGTAGTGTTCTGTAGATAGGTCGCTGCTATTCTAATTGGTCTTCCCTGGTAGATAGTCTGAACTTGCTCTCTTGATAATTTTAGGATTTTTTATTTTATACTTACTTTGTGTAAGTGAATTACTATGTGTCTAGGAATTGGTCTTCTCATGTCTGGCAGGTGTTCTCTGGGTCTGTTGTGTTTGAAAGGTCACATTTCTGATGAGATGAGGGAAGTTTTCTTGGATAATTTCATGGAATGTTTGTTCCAGTGTGATCTCTGTCTATCTTTCTCAGGGATTCCAATTAATCTTAGGTTTGGCCTCTTTATATAATTGTTCATCTCTTGGAGGCTTTGTTCTTTCTTTTTAAGCTTCTATTCTGTGTTTTTCACAGTTTGGGTTAGTTCCTATTTTGGTCCTCAAGCTCTGAGATTCTTTCTTCTGCTTGGTTAATTCTGCTTTCCATATTTATCAGTTTGTTTTTACTTCATTCACTATATTCTTTATTGTTGTCATCTCAGTTATCAACTCTTTCATTCTTTCCTCTTTTCTCTACTTATTTCTATTTATTCTCTCCATTAATATCCTGATATCTGGGTTTATGATTTGAGACCAGTCATTCTGGGGGCTCTTCACTGTTTGATTTCCGAAGTATTTTCAGTTGCTGTCTTTCCAGGGATCTGTGTGGGACCTGTGTTCTTCCATTGATTCTTCTTCATTTGTGAAGGATTTCCTACCCCTTTCCCCCCTTATTTAATTTTTTTGTTTATTGATGAGGAGATAGCTTTCACTTCTGTTTGCTCAGTCCCCTATCTTCCTTATGTAGATTCTCTGGGTTTGTTCAATTTTGAAGCTGGACTGGGGTTGGGGGCTGTGCTTTTTGCAGTTTTGAGATTTGATTAAGGAGGTAGCTGTGTTTCAGAAGCTATCTGTAGATCCCAGTGTCCACTGATAGGTGTGGAGGCCCCTTGGACCCATTTCCCACTGCCTTATAATCTGTCCATGTGGTGGGGGTGTATGTTTGCCCCCTGAAAGAAAAATGAGATAAGAGAAAGGAAGGAGGTAGACTAAAGGAAGGTGAAGAGAGAGAAGATGAACATGGAAAACAGACAGGAACACCAGCTAAGTGATAAACAAAGAAACAGAAGAAAAAAAAAACAGACAAAAACCCAAACAAACCCCAAAACATACAATCATACCCAAAAAACCCTGTGGATGTATTTGCCCTCAAAAATACCCATATGCAAGCAGAAAATCTGAAAACAACAATAAAATAACAAAATCAAAGCAAGTACCAACAGAAACAAAAACAGAAAAGCAGCCTGAGTAGGTTGCTCTCAGCATGGGTCAGACACCCTGTGGACTGCTGTGGGAGGAGGGTGAATCAGATCTAGACTCACCTGACTCATCTGCTGCACAAATCCCAGTCAGATCTGTTCCTGGTCCTGTGTGGCAGAGGGCGCCAATCTCTCCATGTCCAATGGTCAATCCATAGGGGTGTGGAGATAGCCTCTGGATCTCAGGTTGGAGGCTGGACAGAGTTGGGGGCAACACAGGTCTCTGTCCAGTCCCAGGACAGAGAAAAATCATGTCAACCACTCTTAAAGCACATGAATAATTGAGAGTTTACTAAATTTCAGATAGCTTTTTTTAAATTGAACTTAAACTATCCAATTAGTAAAATTCCATATATGTAAAATAAGAACTTCATATATTTTAACACTTTTATAATAACAATGCTAACATAGCATTATCTTAAGTGTGGTAATCAGTATATAATACTTCTGTTGACTTTTTGAGTAGTTGTAAATTTAAATTTTTTTTTTTTTTTTTGAGCTAGAGTCTCACTCTGTCACCCAGACTGTAGTGCAGTGGCATGCTACTGGCCACTGCAGCCTCGACCTGCTGAGCTCCAGTGATCCTTCCACCTCAGCCTTCCAAGTAGCCAGAACTACAGGCATTCACTACCATGCCCGGCTAATTTTTTATTTATTGTAGAGACGAGGTCTCACTAAGTTGCCCAGGTGGGTCTCGAACCTGCGGGCTCAGGCAATCCATTCACCTCGGCCTCCCAAAGTGCTGGGATTATAGGCTGAGCCACCGAGCCCGGCCCATTTTAAATTTTTTAAATGCAAGATTAAATAAAAATTTCTGTTAGGTCAACTTGAGACACTTAATAATAGATGGTACAGTTCGGTACATTTTTATATCTCTCTACTTATTTTTCCCAATATTGAGAAGAAAAAAAAGTGAAAAGAAAAAAAGATAAGCTTTCATCATGGATGAAGACTCTTGGACTATGGAACTAACACTTTCATCTAAATTATACCCTTCTGCTTGATTCTTGCTGGAGGTTCTTGGTTCTTGTTGCTTTTTGGTGGTTAAGAAACTCAAGCTATCTTTTTTTCTGGAAACCACTGCTTTTTGTGGTTCTGATAGATTGCTTCAAATGATTACTCAGCTGGTACACAATGTAATGGATTCAGAGTCAAATCAAAATCTGGAATGCGGTTGATATTTAAAGATTTTATTTTTTATTTGACATTTGCTACCTCTTATCTACCATCTCAGAAACCACACACCAAGACATAGCCTCCATGACCCAGAGAGAATATTACCCTCTGTTTTTCACCTTGTATCTGTGAGAATAAAGAAATTCACAAGAAAGAGTAAACACAACTGCTCTGGCTAGTTAGAACAGTATACTTGTCTTGGAGCAAATGTCTATCAGTGTCCAAGTTGATTTTGGTATTCTATATCTAATCACCCAACTTAATCCTCATTAGACTCAATAAGTATTGTTTGAGGTCACACTTTATATATTAGAATATTTTATCTGCTTCTTAGAAACAATAAAAATATGTAGTATAGATAGATACAGAAGTAATTATGGATATACGTACATATGAGTTGACATATATAACATATTTTCTATCTTTGACTACTGAGAGAGCCTACATTCAGGGGCACCCCAATAACAGTGAGCACACTCACAGCAAGATATTGGTTTCCAGATACTATTTTCCAAGGAAATAGGAGTCCTTGGAGAAATGACTGATTCTAGGAGTGGGACAGGGAAAGTAGATGATGATCCCAGAGAATCTTGCAGTGCCAGGAGGTTGGGAAGAGCTCAAGAAAACAAAAGAAGGAGGACATGCCAATGGTATGTCAGGAGCCAAAATGAAAGCATTCTCCATGGCCAAAACTGGAATAATTTGAGAAGAAGAATAAACAATGCAGGTTTGGTCATAACCCAAAACATGAAATAAATATCTAGTCTATAGTGATATAAAAAATTGAACAAATAAATAAAGGAAAAAAAAGAGACACATCTTCTTTGCAAAAAAATTCCAGATAATACATGTAGACTCTCCAGAAGGTGAAGCTTAGCATCCTCCAACCCCTACCCCAGAGTGTGGGCTGGCCTTAGTGACTGACTATCAAAGAATAGAGTATAGAAAGGAAAAAAAGACAGTGGAGAAACTTAGCCTCCCTACCTTGCCAGATGATCACAGTTAACATAATCAGTCTCAAGTTGTATGGTAGCATATAATGATATCTGATGATAAGAATGTTATATGATATTATATGACTGCTCTTACATGATAAGAAGGATACTTTATCCCTATCACACTCTTTCCAAAAATCCATGAGCCCAAAATAGCCATGAGTAAAAATGTTTGGCAAACCTTGACAGAGGGACATTCTACAAAATATATCAATAGCAACAGCACTCTTCAAAACTATTAAGGTCATGAAAACAAGAAAAGATGGAAAAACTATCACAGAACATAGATGGATTTGGAGACATGAAAACTAAATGTAAGGTGATATCCTGAATAAGATCCTGAGACAGACAAGGGATATTAGTGATAAAACTAGTGGAATCCAAATGCAGTTAGGAGTTTGGATAATAATGATGTACCAATGGTAATCTATTAATGATGACAAATGCACCATTTGAATGGGAGAGTTGGAATGAGGGGTCGGGGGAGGCAGTAGGCCCTTTTGGACACAGTACACTATGTGGCAGGTCCATAAAGCCAACCCTGGGTTGAGGATTCATGGACCATGACTCAGAATAGGAGGGGGATTGGCCTGTGGGGGTTCAAAGGCTAGATTTTCATCTCTAACACTGGACAGTGGCTAGAGGTGATTAAGGAGATGCAACAAAACTTAATTCTAGTGATCAATCTGATGAAAAAGTATGTAGGCGATTTGATAGGAAACACTATTGGCAGTTTTATCAGTTAGGAATTCGACAGTCATCCTTGGGAAGAAAATGGTAGACACGAATAAACAGAACACTTTGTTTTCCTCGTCTGTGTTAACAGCTTCCATGATTATGTTAACAGTTTTTACATAAAACAAGTATCAACCCAAACACCATCTTTAATGTTCATTTCTAGCTAACGTATTGATCTAAAAAGACTCTTTATCTTATAGACACAGACTTCGCCAACATAGCATTTTCCTTTAAGGAGTCCCTTTTATAGAATTTGAAATGAATTCATCAGGGTTGGAATTGTTGCTGCTATGTATTGCTATCAAGGCATTTGAAATCGGCTTCCAATTTTTTCCTCCAGGAAGTTCTCAAACTAGTGTGAACTCTGTCTTCCCAGGTACCTCCAGGTCATCAGTTGCTCGATGTAAACCAGGAACCAATTGCCCCACTTCACACAGTGGTATCAGTAGACAATTGTCCCCTCTGTCTGTCACCGAAGATTCTTCTGCTCCTATTCTTGAACTTCAGAGCCGAGGATCCTCGGGAGTTTGTGGACATAGAGTTGAGAGACAGAACAAATCAGGTATGTGGGAGACCTCTTCTTAAATAATAGTACATCTTGGTAACCTTCTAACCAGCCATAAATGCTCTCATCATTGGCACAGGATGCCAGATGTTACATGGACTCTTATGAGTAGATGTGGAGAAGACTTATCAAGTGGGAGGAGGAAAATACATGAATTCTCTCTGTTAGTAGTGTACAGCATAGCAGAGACACTGAACACCAAAACCTGTAGTCAAAAAACTCATCATACAGTTAGCCACTGATTTTTTTTTTTGAGTTGGTGTCTCCTCTGTCTTTCATGCTGGAGTACAGTGGCATGATCACAGCTCACCACAGCCTTGACCTCCGAGGCTCAGGTGATCCTTCCTATTCAGCCCCTCAAGTAGCTGGGATGACAACACACCAACACACCCAACTAAGTTTTTCGGGGTTTTTTTTTGTTTTGTTTCTTTTAGAGCGACAAGTTCTCACTATATTGCCAAGGCTGGTCTCACAACTGCTAGGTTCAAGTGATTCTTCTGCCTTGGCCTTCCAAAGTGCTGGGATTACAAGCACAAGCTACTACACCGGGCAACAATAATTTCCAATGAAATTTACAAGGTAGATAGTTTTCTCATCTTTAAAACTTCAAAACCCAGTGTCCTTTATCTCAGCCCTGGGATTCAGTAATAGTGTACTGTGCCCATTCTGAAAAGAATAAAAACACTAGTTAAGATCATAGAATCTGCTCATGTTCCCCTCAGGATTACCAGTCCCTAGTGCCCGTCTAGCTTTTCCACCTACAGGACACTTCTCTGGCCTCCCTCATCAGCATTTTCTGATCAAGTGACACGTTTAGCCTTTCCTCATACCCACCTGACCACTCACCAACTGGGTTACTACAATTGCTAGATAAATCTTGTTAACTATGCCCATGACTTTCCCCGAAAATTTATAATTTCTAAATGCCACTGGATCCCCTAGGCTGCTTCCCAGCACTGTTACTTATTGGTGGTCGATCTCTTATCACCTTTCCCAGGGAATGCTCAAGACCCAAGTTCATATTCACTTCCTCTCCTGTGTCACCGTACTTTCACCTTCCTGAAAAGAGTAAACAACTGTATGCTAACAAATGCTTTCTTCACTACCGGAGAAGATCTCTGTGCTTTTGTTGACCAGTTATCACCATCATGTGATTACTTGTGTGATTTGTTACCTTTCCAGTGTTAGGTCCTTAACTTGTGTCCATGATCACCTCCACCACATCTCTGCCACCTACATTTTTAACATCTCCCTTTGTTCCTTCAGCTTAACTGGCAACATATTAAATTTTTTTTTGTTCTTAAAAACCATAACAACTACAAAAACAACAAAACACATCATTCAAAATAACTAGGTAAAAAAACAACAAAATGCACGTGTGTGCACACATGCACACATACACACACAAACACACACACCCCAAAACACCAAAACCCCAGAACTGCAAGAAAACTGGTTTTTTAAAAAGGAAAAAGATAGCAATTCAGAGGATTCAGTTAGGGTTGGGGGTGGTTAAACAATTGGATAGCAAAGATGTGAAAGCCTCTTCTAGCCTACTAATTTGAGAATAGTTTTTTTTTTTATATGAGAAAAGATATTTTTCAAAAACAGTATTTTTAAATGGTATCTTAGCAACTACATAAACCCCAAAGCTAAAACTCTTTAAAAAACAAAGTAAAAAAATTTTGGAAAGTTTTTAATTGACTTTAATAAATTGCAGTAATATGTTTTTTACAATACAGAATGTTTCAGTTAATTAAATTTGCTTGTTAATAAAGACATGCCCTATCTATTATATACAGATTATACATTCCAAAGACCATATCATTAAAGATCACCTGGAACATAATTTACTTTTTTCTGTGGTTATTAGAGGTGTTTGGAGGATATTCCAGTGCACCAAAGAAAAGACAGAGAATCTGAGCAGCAGCTCACTATACTTCATGGATGTTATGGTACTTAATCTCAAAACAAATCCTGAGAGATAGATAGATCACTGTTTGGCATATAAAGAAGCCAAGACTGGAATTAAACATGTACTCAGGGCTATCCAATGGCAGGGCTAGGACTTAAACTCATGTTTCCAAATTCCAGTGACCTCTACCATTAAGTTGCTTGATGCCACTAACATTTCATGGAAATGGATGGAATTCCTGCTAAACTAACTTAAATGGTATATGCAAAATGGTAAATCTAGGCAGGACTGTAGAAAATCTTGTTTTAAATGGTCAGAAAAATAAAAAAGCCCTAGAGACACAATCATTCTATACTTCATAACAATAAGTGGAGCATGGTGGCTTATGCCTGTACTCCCAGCACTTTGGGAGGCCAAAGTGGAAGGATTGCTTGAAGGCAGGAGTTCAAGACCAGAGTAGGCAACATAGTGAGATCTCATCCCTAAAATAAAGTTTTAAAAATTGGCTGGATGTGGTGGCACTCGCCTGTAGCCTCAGCTACTCAGAAAGCTGAGACCAGAGAATTGCTTGAGCCCAGGAGTTCGAGGCTGCAGTGAGCTATGATTGCACTACTGCACTCCAACCTGGGCAACAGAGTAAGACTCTGAATCAGGAAGGAAGGAAGGAAGGAAGGAAGGAAGGAAGGAAGGAAGGAAGGAAGGAAGGAAGGAAGGAAGGAAGGAAGGAAGGAAGGAAGGGCAACAATTAGTCTAGTTAGCTGAAGAAGATTAGGGTCAATACTCTGAAGAGATTTAGGTGACTATGGATGTCATCAAAAGCACATCCATAGTATGATGGTGGTATGTACAGACATGACCTTCAAAAAAACGTAGCATAGGAGGTACACCTCTCTCTTAAGTATCACTTCTTAAGTCTCATATAAGACTTCCACTTCTGTCAAGAAATAAAACTTTTTCCAAACCATTTCTGAAATTTCCAGTGCTTTAATGGAAAACTAAATGCTGAAAACCTAGATGTGAGTATTCAGAATAAATTTTAGACCCTGGAGTTAGAATGACTTGGGTTGGATTAACTTTGGGCAATCCATAACATGAGTCTCAGTTTTTTCATCTATAAAGTGGGAATAATAATACCTATTTAGTAGAGTAAGTTTATGTCCTTTTTCTGGCCTCTCAATACAAGGATCTCTCATTCTATCCTCTTACTTATCCTAGTTTTTCTACACTGCTATCTGCATAAGCCACATGGCCATAGAGGAACTTTTTGAAGCTGTTATCAAGAGAAGGTGTCATCTAGACACAGTCTAGGGAGCCAGCTCATTCATATTTCCAGACTTATCTCAATGTCACTGCCTCATGGAAATTTCTTCTGATCATTTCCCACCCCACCCCTCAACAAGTGATTCTCTGCTTCATATGGTCTTGATCTGTCAGAGTTGGCCCTTATCACACTGTATTGGGTGTGGTTTTTTACTTTGTAGAGGACCCTGAGCTCAAGTCTTCCATCTTTGAACCCCTGGAACCCAACTAGCTAATAAGCTCCTGGTAGAGACTCCATAAGATGTTGGCTCACACCTGTAATCCCAGCACTTTGGGAGGCTGAAGTGGGAGAACTGCTTGAGCCCAGAAGTTCAAGACCAGCCTGGGAAACATAGCAAGACCTCATCTCTACCAAAAAAAAAAAAAAGCTATGTGTGGTGGTGCACTCCTGTAGTCCCAGCTACTCAGGATGCTGAGGCAGAAGGATCACCTGAAGGAAGGAAGAAGGAAAGAAGGAAAGGAAGAAGGAAAGAAGGAAGGAAGGAAGGAAGGAAGGAAGGAAGGAGAGAGAGAAAGAAGGAAGGAAAGAAAGCATAAAAGAATGTCAGTTTTTTCCTTCTGGAGCCCTAGGCCCTAAGAATTCAGTGCTATTTATTTGTTTGTTTGTTCCTTATTTTTCAAGTCAGGGTCTCATTCTGTTTGAGTGCAGCAGCACAATCAGGGCCCACTGCAGCTTCAACCTCTTGGGCTCAGGCAAATCCTCCTGCCTCAGCCTCCTGAGTAGCTGGGACTACAGGTGTGGTGGTAGGTGATATTTTTATTTTTTGTAGATATGAGGTCATGCTATGTTGCTCAGGCTGGTCTCAAACTCCTGGGCTCAAGTAATTGTCCCACCTCCCAAAATTCTGGGATGACTGGCATGAGCTACGGACACTGACAGTACTATTTACAAGACTTAGAAGTCATGTAGTCATTGCTGCGTTCATAGTTACTCGGTTTATATTCCCCAAGTGAAGAAATTACTTTCAAGACTTGCTTCCTCATTCTTCCAAGTGATTATATCAGAAACTTTAACTTGGTAAAGGTTTTTAACACAGTAGACAGTCACACCTGGCTCATTGAATAGGAAGACTTTTAGGAGGAAAGCCAGCAGTTTCCAGAAAGGTAAAGTGAGAAGCCCCATCCACTGCCACTTGTGATCTGTGGACAGCAACACTTTTTCTTTTCCTTTCTTTCTTTCTTTCTTTCTTTCTTTCTTTCTTTCTTTCTTTCTTTCTTTCTTTTTCTTCCTTCCTTCCTTTCTTCCTTCCTTCCTTCCTTCCTTCCTTCCTTCCTTCCTTCCTTCCTTCCTTCCTTCCTTCCTTCCTTCCTCTCTCTCTCTCTTTCTTTCTTTCTTCCTTCCTTCCTTTTTTTTTTAGTTGTAGTGTCACTCTGTTGCCCAGGCTAGAGTGCTGGCAGGATCACAGCCATTGCAGCCTCAACCTGCTGGACTTAGGTGATCCTTCAGCCTCAGCCTTCCAAGTAGCTGAAACTACAGGCACATGCCACTATGCCTGGTTTTTTTATTTTTTTAATTTTTTTAGATTTATTATAGAGACAAGGTCTTGCCGAGTTGCCCAAGCTGTTCCTTAACCCCTGTGCTCAGGCAACCCTCTAGCCTCCACCTCCCAAAGTGCTGGGATTACAGGTATGAGCCACTGCACTGGGCTTGCACCAGTTTCTACACCCGCAGCACACAGGTGGTGCTTAAGGGAGGTTCCTGAATACCCAAGAGAATCTTGCAGACAACTCTACCTCCTTTTTCCCGGAATTGTATTTGAATCTCAGTTCAGGAACTCAGGGTGACCTCTGTCTGCTCCTGTCCAACTTCCTGATGGGTATGAGATTCATTATGTTGAACTTGCTTTTTCTGTTGAGAAGGCCTTTACGATCATTACTTTCAGAGAGCTTTGGCTATTTTAATGTGAAAAAATGCAGGTGCATTTTCTTAGTAAATGTAAAAGTGCAATGCAGAACTCATTGTGCTCCCAGAAATATATCCAATAGTAATTCTTTGTGAGATGGGAATTGACTTTGCATAGTAAGGACTTGCTCTGTTCTTGGGACATGTTGCTTTTCAATTTAATAATCATCTTTGCTGCAATTAAACCCAGTGGGATATAAAAACAAATATTTGTTTCTCACTATCTTTTCATGTTGGTGGATACAGAGTAGTCTTGGTAGGGTTAGGCTTCTTCCTCAACATAGATGAAAAGGACAGCTTCTATTTGGGATTTTGCATTTTTGTGACAGAAGGGACAAGCAAGAGAGTGCTGGGAAGTGGCATGCCTCACACCAGCTCATCTTTGAGTGCAGAAAGCAGGTAACCTGGCCAAGATCAAAGTCTTTGGGGGTTGACGTGTAATGCTCTTAAAAGAAAGGGAATAGGACAAACTGGAGAATAGCATAGCATCCACCAAGTTCACAAACATCCTCACGGTCTGGATGAGGGTTCAGATATACATTGTACTTTGTAGAGCAAACATTTTAGAAAGAAAATGAGCCAGCCAGAGTTGTTAGTTGTTAATCTCTTCAAATGACGATAGAGAAAGAAAAACTGGTATTTCTATTGTCTGCCTCTTCAGTTTCATCCATCTTTTTAAAGGAGCTGACACATTTGATTGCTGTTTCATAACCTGCTTTCCACACATTTGTATTCCTTTCCTGTTTCCAGCAGACGATGGGACACAGACTCATCCTGAGAACAGCAGCCAAGAAAACAGAATCAAAGCTCGCTGCTTGTCCTGCACGTCCGTGGTTCTGAAGGCCATCTGGGGACTCTTGATCATCTTGTCAGTATCATCGTCTTGGGTTGGAACCACACAGATTGTAAAAATTACTTATAAGAACTTCTATTGCCCATTTTTCATGACTTGGTTTTCAACAAACTGGAACATTATGTTTTTCCCAGTCTATTATTCTGGTCATTTGGCCACTGCTCAAGAAAAGCAGTCTCCAATGAAAAAATTCAGGTAAGTTTCATATTAAATGGTTGGTCGGAGATGTTTGAAAATATGTTTTATGCAAATGTGCATATTTTCATCGCTTGGGGATATGAGTTGATTTATTTTGTGGAATGCAGAGATTCAGAATCTAAGGTTGGTAATGAACACCAAGAAGCAGAATCAGTCCTCTCTTTATTATTATTATTTTTTTTTGAGTTGGAGTCTTACTCTGTCACCCACGGTGGAGTGCAGTGGCACGTTCACAGCCACCCCAGCACCGACCTGCTGGGCTCAGGCGATTCTTCCACCTCAGCCTTTCATGTAGCTGGAACAACAGGCACAGGCTACCACGCCCAGCTAATTTTTGATTTATTGTAGAGGCGAGGTCTCGCCAAGTTGCCCGGGCTGGTCTCAAACCCGTGGGCTCAGGCAATCCACTCACCTTGGCATCCCAAAGTCTGGGATTGCAGGCTGAGCCACCGAGCCCAGTCAGTCCTCTCATTTTAAAAAATAGTATCTATAACATGCCAGGCACTGTACTGGTGCTTTTGTATATTGTGTCTTATTTAATCATCCCCAGTAGCAATATCCACCTTTTAAAGTGGTGTCATTATACCCATTTTAACACAAGAGGAAACAGGTGCAGAAAGATTAAATGACTCATCCAAGATCACACACTTATAAATAATGAAACACAGATGTAAATCCAGATCTATTTATTTTTGAAAGTCATGTGGTTTTTTGTTTGTTTGTTTTTAATTTTTTAATTTTAAAGATGTGGGGTACAATTCAGGCTTAAGTATATAAATGCTCATTATGCAGATACTCTTATTGATGAGGTGTGCCCCCCCTTCCCTGGCAGATTCCTACTACTGCCAATCCTGCCTCCCCCCTCCCGCCCCTGACAGTTTCCCGCTACTGCCAATCCTTTTCTATAGTATTACAATAATTGTTCAAGGATTGCTTATGAGTGAGAACATGTGATACTCAGTTCTTTGTCTCTGTGATAGATCACTCGGTATTATAGACTTTAAGTCTATTCAAGTTGCTGTGAAGTTCATAATTTTGTCCTTCTTTATGGCTGTGTTATATTTCATCATGTATATATACCACATTTTAAAAATCCAGTCCTCTTTCGATGGGCAGCATGGTTGGTTCCATGTTTTTGCTGTTATGAATAATGCTGCAACAAATATGCATGCACAAGTATCTTTTTCATAGAATGATTTGAGTTCTTCTGGGTATATTCCCAGCAGGGGGATTGTGGGGTCATATGGAAGGTCGATTTTTAGAGCTTTTAGGAATCATCACACTGATTACCATAGAGACTGGACTAGTTTACACTCCCATCAACAGTGTAGAAGTATTCCCTTTTTGCTGCATCCTCTCCAGCATCTGTTATTTTTTAAGTTATTGATGATGGTCTTCCTGGCTGGAGTTAGGTGGTATCTCAGTGTAGTTTTAATTTGCATTTTTTTGATGACTAATGAGGTTGAGCATTTTTTCATGAATCTGTTGGCTGCTACTATGTCTTCTTTTGAGAAATATCTATTCATATCTTTGCCCACTTTGTAATGGGGCTATTTGTTTTTTTTTCTTTTCAGCACATTTGTGTTCCTTGTAGATCCTAGATGTTAGGGCTTTGTCAGACATACAGTTGGCAGATATTTTTTTCCCAGTCTGTGAGCTGTCTCCCTGCTCTCTTGATGGTTTCTTTGACTTTGCAGAAGCTTGTCAGTGAAAGTCATGTTTTAAAAGAACATCCTAGTGTTTCAAGCCCCCCCCAAAAAAACTGTATTAATTTTAATTGTAACATAAATACTTGCTCAATAATCTGGACACTGTGGTACCCAAGCAGAGGAATGATGCAATGGGAGATTTTGTCCTGGAAAACTTCAAAGGATGCCACCCTGACTGGGAGTACATGGGGCCTTGTCTGTTTCCTTGCTAGCCGTGAAGAGTGGCAGCTGGGCTTACTTGGGTGTCCCATGGTTTAGTGGTTGTTCTGTGCTAACCTGGCTTCTGCAGCCCCCTCTTGGAGAACTCAGGAAGCTCATAGGGCTGATGTCACACAGCCCTGCCCAGCACTCAAGGAAGACAAAGGCGGCATGTGGGTCAAGGTACGTTTGCTAGTGGGCAGCAAAAAGGAAAAGCCCAACACTAAGGAGCAACCTCCAGGACGGCTCCTCTGATCATCCAGAAATAGTAGTCAGGGATGTCAGTGGACGGCAGATGAGAGAACTATAGATTCTCCACACCAGCTTATTGTTTCTCAGACGAATAAGTGTGTCTTGCAGAAGCCAAAATAATGGTAATTTCTTCTTTTCTTAAGCTACAATGACTTTTATCATTGGTGCATTATGAGACTGTTCTTAAAAACGTAACAAACTGTGTGGAGTGTCTATCTTCAGCTCCTCTTTTTGTTACCAACTTGGAAGTGCTTGGGAATATTAAAATCACACCATGAGTTGATTTTCTATATGTGTCTATGGAAATTTGTTATAATGAAAGAAACAAACAAAAAATGATTCAAAAAAATACATGTTTTCTGGTTTGAGAGAAAGGATAAAATCATTTATCTATTTATGATTGCTAAAGATATTCGGTATTTGATTCCCATCAAAATAGACATGATCTTAGGGCAGAAGTTTTTTTTTAATTGCAGTATATAATAAATGACTGCAAGGAAATATGATCATCAGACTAAAATTGTCTCTGTTTGAAACTACCTGTGTGCCCCCATATAGTGTCTTTGTTCTACTTAAATGCTTCTATGGTTTAGATGTACATACTGATTTAAAAACAACAAAAAGTTTAGTATAAAAAGCAGTACATTAAGAACACCTCAAAGTAAGCCGAGTGGGTTTGATTTAAAATAACCAATTTATAACAAGAGGCTGCTGCCAGCAGAAATGTTGTTTGGGGAATGAGCTTCAGATCAGACTGACTCTGAACTTAGTGAAATCTGGGATTTGTCAAGACACCTCCACCTGTAGTACAGGTAGAGAGAAGTTGACCATTTTTGAAACAGAATCAAAAAGTTTTTATTGTCAAGCAGAAAACAGTGTTTTTGAAGGGAATATTCTCCAGTGGCCCCCTCCACATGACAGGTAAAAATTTTTCAGAAAATTCTTAGATCCTTGGTCTTTTTTCCCTGTAGACTCATCAATACCATCTGCCAAGAAGTTACTCCCAAAGCTCTCATGGTTGAACAAGAGAAATACAGAGTTAGTGTATAAGATTAGAAATAGAATTTGTCCCAAAGCACCAGAACCCCTGACTATTGTCTCTTGAATTGTATGAAAGCATTTCCAGTTTTTTCTTACCACTAACATAAAAAGATTTTTCAACAAAGTATCAAATCTATATGATATCAAAATGAATGATTGTCCATTTGGAAGTAAGTTTTGATAATTCAATCATTTCTTTTATATGCTATCAGAGGAATTTATTTGTCTCAGGTGAATTTAAAACTTAGGAAGAAAAAATCATATACCACAATATTAGCAAGAGTGTTTTCTTAGGAAAAAAAATCTCTGGAAAGCATGAAACCAGAGCCAAAGATATATTTGCCTATGTTAAACACCTATGAAATGTTATTTGATATCCTGAAAGGGTCTAAAAACTAGTAGCTGCAGTTATAATAATAAGCATAGTTAAATTATTAGTGTTTCCCAACTTCTAAGCTTCATTTCAAGCTTGCCACCTGTCAATGTTTCTTGTCCAGAATTTCTGATTTCATCATCCCAAAGAGAAACCCATTGTTATTTGCTTCTCTATAAAAATTTATTCTTTTTCTTTGCGTTTTTACATTTCTTAAAACTTAATGCTTAAGTAGAATAGAGTTTTACACAGGTGAGCTGGCATTTGGATAGAGAGCACTTTTTCCTTTCTGCAAGAGCAGTGACAAAGGGGAGAAGGTTGACAGTGAGAGGAGAAAAGAAAGAGAAGCAATGAGGGAAGGAACACCTGGGGGACAGGACAAGCCAAGTGAGAACAGTCTTTGCTGGCAGCAGTGTCTTCCCAGGTGCCTATCCTCATTTATGCATACCTGGTCTTCCTGCGGGATTGGTGTTCCCTTACCTGCATCCAAAGTCTATACTTAAGAGAACTCATCCCAGCATAACTGTGGGCTCTCGGCAGGAAGAACCATCACTGACTAGGGCCAGTGATAAGAAAAAGAAATCCTTTCATCCGAAATGAGTTTTGATGGGGCTCTACTAAGCGTGTGTGCATTTTAAAAGGCATTCAGTGGTTGTAGATGACAAGATAAACCCATGTCTCTCATCTCAAGCTCTACATGGCAACTTTCTCATAGTGCAAATCCCTTTGTAAGTACAGAATATGTGCCACCATTAGTACCTGGGTATTAACTTCTTTTTTCTTTCCTAGGGAATGCAGTCGGATTTTTGGTGAAGATGGTCTGACATTGAAGCTCTTTCTTAAAAGAACTGCCCCGTTTTCTATCCTATGGACTTTGACTAATTATCTTTATTTGCTGGCTTTAAAGAAACTGACAGCCACGGATGTCTCTGCTCTGTTCTGTTGTAACAAAGCGTTTGTCTTCCTGCTGTCGTGGATTGTGTTGAAAGACAGGTTCATGGGAGTGAGGGTAATGGCACACTTGATTCAAAATGCGCGATGTCTCCCTTAATCATAAATCTTTGGCATCATGAGAGCTGCTTTGTCTTATGGAGTTTCTGTAAAACTTTTTCTACTGGTTCTGAGTACAAATTGAAATTGGAAGATGCACTAGGAAGCCCAGACAGTTACGACATCATGAAAGGATAAAGAGATTGTTTCTGCTGGCTAGGGAGCCGATTCCAACAAGAAGCACTATAACAGAAAATAAGTGATTATTTGAGATGTAATTTTTAGAATCAATGGTGCAATCAACTCCTTCTGTCCTCAGGAAAGAAGGTCTAAGAAAGTTAGCCACGGTAAAGATTATGATTTGCTTTTTTCAATCAACATATGTTGAGGCAGCCCCTTCCTGCCCCCCACCAAATGGATTTAATTAATATTGGTGTAAGTAGATAAGATTACCAAACAGCAGTTAAAATCACTGGTAATGGCACAATGCTCTTAAAAGTGACTATATATCTAGTGTTACTAACCTAGAAATGGAAAAAAGCAACAACTTGTTCTTTTGAATACAAATCCTTAGTTGAACTTCATTAAACTTCCACCAATCACTTCAGTTCTGAGTTTATTCCTTTCAGGAGTAACACAGATTTTTTAAAAACTTTTTTTTTTTTTTTTTTGGTAAACTTGTTCTATGTTAGAAATAGTTGCTTAGAAGCCATGAAGATTTAAGAAGCCAGATCTCATTCATATAATCTGGCATGCCACTGTGATAAAAAAACACTGAGACAAAAATTCTTTAAAAGGAGGTACAAGTGAATACAAGCCTTTTCCCAGAGTTTCAGCATTTTAGAACTTATTCTTCTCTGAAAGAGATGCCCAAGTTCAAATTTGAAACATATTTGCTATCAAAATACTACTCTTGTTGGCAATGAGTCCAAAGTCCTTGGGCCCCTCCCAAATGCTGAAATTAATGTCTATATTAGAGAGAGAGCTCATGGTGGCCATTAACCCTTTCAGCGCTTTAAAAAAAATAGCCAGTTAGAAAATTCTGATTGTATATCGAGAGATGCTTTTCAGGATTTTAGAACTGAAGCTTGATATGAAAAATAAGTAGAAAGGTTTAATATAAGACACAATCAGTGTGAGTCAGTCCATGACACCATTAGAATATACCCAAATGTGATAGCACATTCTCCACTGGCTAATCTGAGACTTGTTCCCCAAAGAGCTCAGCATCATGTATTTATACCTGGAGCACTAGTTCCAGCTGTCTACCATTAGGTATCCTGAGAAGTCCTTGAGAGCAGGGACCTTTCCTATATTGTGCCCTGCCCCATTCATCATGGGCTACATAATTTGAAGAGTTCAATGCAATATGAAATTTCAGGGCCCCTGTTAAAAAAATTAATAATTTCAAGATGGCAAAAACAGAGCATTAAACACCGTGTGGAGACCTTCTAGGCACAAGCTCCCACACATCTACACAGGTCATTTCCTAGGAAGTCAGCCCTGTCCCTACTCCCAACACCTGGAATAATGCAGGGCACAAAGGAGGGGCTCAATAGATATTTGCAAATACAATAAATGAAGTCATGCTTATGAGATCTTTCTCTTCACTACATTTCACCACCATGAACACCCATGATGACCTGGAGGGTCTTGAGAGAAAAAAAGGAAGATTTGAGGGCTTTTGTGTTCTTTCAGTGGCATATAAATACTAAAAATAAACCAATACATTCACTATTAGATTTACTAGTAAGAAAATCAATTGTATTTGTGTGAATGAATGCATTTAACCACTGAATGCAAGAGGCCCGTTAAAAAAAAAAAAAAAAGCAAGTTTCTTTGAGGTCTTTTAAAGGAAAAGAAAAATTGTGTAACATATTTAAATCACAGACTTTAAAAATCTGCCTAGAGGCTATTAATCATGGTCATTTTGAATCTGGCATCTTGCAGTGGTTTGAATGGTGGCTCCCAAAAAGATCTGTCCACGTTCTAATTCCCCAAACCTGTGAATGTGACCTTATTTGGATAAAGAGTCTGTGGATGTTATTAACTTAAGTATCTTGAGAAGAGGAGATCATCCTGGATTATCTGGGTGGGCCTTAAATCCATTAACAAGACAACAGCCCGAGAGACTCACACAGAGGAGACACACAGACAAGGAAGAGGCAATGTGAACATGGAGATTGGAGGGATATGGCCACAAGAAGGCAAGGGCATTTTTCAGAATCTGGAAAATGCAAAGAATGTATCATCTCCTGGAGAAACCCTGGGTCCCTGCTGGATCTTCAACTTCTGGCCTCCAAACTGTGAGAGGTTAAATTTCTGTTGTTTTAAGTCACCAAGTTTGTGGTAATTTGTTACAGCAGCTTGAGGACGCTAATACAGCCTTGGTAATTAATAAGACCTGATAGAAGAAATGTTAAATAGTCGATAAGTACTTGTTAATAAATATATGCATAAATTAAGACATCCTAGATAGCAAAAATAGTAAGCATTAGTGTCAGGTATGCTGGTAAAAGTCAGATATTTTTTCTTTTTAAGTGACAGGAAGTGCTTCACTTCTCACTGTGAAACATTAGGAAGTATTTAATGCCATGTTCTGGAAGAATGTCAAAGTGTAATTTTAATGATGCCCATAATCAGGCCATAGGATATGAGAAGCACCAAAACATATTCAGCGTTTTGCCTTTTGACAGTATCAGCAATTCTTTTCCTCCTGAGACATATTAAGAACATGTATAATTAGGTCATTTGAGAAATTAAAGGAGGGCATACAGAGCACTGACAACATAAATGCAACTCTTATCACCTACATCTATAAATAATCTAAAGCACAGCTCCTCCAGATGTCCCACCAGACTACTCTTTAAAAACAACAACAACAGCTAAAGGAGTGTTTTCAGTCATCAGATTAAAATTTATATTTCTGGCTTATGCTAAAGCTTCAGTAATTTAGAAACAGATGTTTGTTGGATTATAACTCTCATATATGCTTGGTTTCGGGAATGATCACATTTAAGGTGAAAATCTATGGTCTTCCCTGTTTCTATTTTTTTCATGTCAAAATAACATCATGAACAGAATGAAGGGTGCTTTAAGTTATAATATCAGTAAACATAGGTTTATCTGAACCACCAGTGGGCCAGAATTAGTCATTCTCACATTAAAATGGATTATGTGTTAAGAATAACTTGTTAATATTTTGTTTCTTTGGAATACTGATTGAATTACAGATAGTTAATCTGTTACACATTTAGCTTTTCTATTTTGAAATCATTTCAACCAATTTACTGGTAACCTTTGATGTGATATGTTAAAAAACACTTTCATGAGAAATTGCTTTAGGTAATATGTGATCATCCTGTGAAAATTAGTAAACTTCTCTAAAGGATCATCTTTTAAATTGCAAAAATGTTCTAAAGTTATAATCCAGCTCTTGCAGCTTTGAAGATAGATTTTTTTTCTCTCTCTGGGATCCTGTTCTTAGTGTTCCTATTCATGGGACCCAGAGAAGCCACCTAAATAAAAGAAAGTTCTTCCCAAGGGCAATGCACCACTGGCTGGGAGTTTTCTTTGTTATCTGTCTCACTCCAGTGAAAAGTAAATGCCAGACTAGAATGTTAGAAACTTTTCTTTCAAGTCTTGTACCTCTCTTGTTTTTTTATATTAATTCAATTTTTTTCATTTTCAAATTTCTTTGATAATATAGAGAAAATTAGTGATGGTGAATGGTTCAGCAGACCCCAACTTTCTTAGACAATTATAAGATGAATTTATGTCCCTTCAGCTTGGCAGCCATATATTTACCAGCTATATTTGAGTCCCTATGCAGTTAACTCCCCAAACTGTGGCTGTTTCAAAGACTTTCTAAGATCTTTCAAGGATTGACTGGAGTATATCAGTTAAACTGAATCTTTCGTTGCATAACCTGTACTTCTTTGAATTCATTTTGGGCCACTGAACGCTCTAAAACAGGACACTGGAGCTGAGCTGCTACTGATTTGTACTGATATTACATATTAAGATAAGATTCAAGATGACCTTCTGTTTCCATCTTGCCTTTGGTTACTGCTCATTCATGTGCAGTGAAGACTTCTCCACCCAGGACCTCTATACTTCCTGGCGGAGGCAGTGGAGAATGGACTCTTCCCTGTCATCCCCCCTCTTGGCAGGACAATGATTTATGAATACAGTCAAGAGAGGAGTCAGCTGAATTGTCCTGGCTCTCAGATGGTATGCCCACAAGGAATTCATAACGCCTGCAACAAGGTGCAATATGTCTGTCCTGTGATTGTTTTCCCTCTTCACTATCCAGGTCTTCCTTTGAGATAATTTTCAAATGGATTATTTCACATATACATTGATGTGTGTAGGGAGAGAAGGAGTTCAGAGGAGGTTCAGCACCCCTTGGGTTTACTTCTGTCCTAGGTACTTCCCTCCTCCTCACACAGAGTGTCTGGACGGTGATAAATTGCCACACCTCTTTAATTTCTCACATTTCAGCTCTTGTTCAGTTAAATTAGATCTAAGTAAGAGATCATAGCTCTTCCCAGAACCTTAAATATAACATTTTCAGAAGTTCAAGGGTTCTTTTTAGCTATGGTTCCTTGAAAATGAACTCTATGCAAATCCACTCATGGAGAGAAAAAGGAAAATTATCAGCGACTTGCTTACTGGTAAAACAGAGTGTATCCAAACAGAACTGCTGACCTTCAGTCTTCAACTTGAGTACAACCACTGCCAGCAGTGTAGTTTGAGACCTGCATTTTAGGGGCTGCTATAGGTTTTGGGATTCAAAGATCCATTGTAAACGAAGTGAAGCTGCTTCCTACTCACCCAGCTTCAAGAGACAGAATTAGTCTCAAGGCAAAGTAAGGAAACGTGTTTGGTTTACAATCATTCATTAGAGTCTTCATAATCTTGAAGGAACACTGCTGGAAGAGAAGCAATTGAAGGTTCATTTCAATGCCTTAGACTCTAAAATAGCTGGTACTGTTATGCTAATAATAGTTGCGGAAACAATCTGTGAATGGGAAACAGTGAACTGGATGAGGCTGGTAAATCAGACCCTTATTTGTTCTCTGGAAACTTAAAGTGTATTTAGTCTCTAAAGCTAAACCAGTGGTACCCAGCACAGACATTCTGGGATCTACAGACGACCACTTTAAATAGGCCCTACACCTAACATTTTCCTGCATTTTCAAGATTAGCTGGGATCCTTTTCTTTAGTTACAACTGTGTAGATAAGAAATTGAAAATTTCTTAAAACATGGCCATAGAGAATTTGTCCTACCAGATAGTTGTGAAATTTAAATTAAAATGTGGCAAATAACGTATTTATTCCTACTACACCTCCTCCCAAGGAATCTACTTTATAACCTACAAAAGTTAGAATTTTTCTAACATCTGAAATATTCAGATTTTCATGCTTTTAGAACTTAACTAACAGTGTTATCTGGCCCCCTAAAGTGAAAAATATTTCTCTTTGTAAAAGCAATTGAAAGAGATACTGGTGTAATTGATACGTCAATTTTAGAGGTGAAGACTAATATCTTCACAAGCACTTGAATATAACAAGTAACGAAGATCTTTACGAGGGTCACTATGATTATAATTTTGAATTGCTGTGAAATTACATAATCTTTAACCATATCCAATTCCTATATTCAGAAAACTTATAATAGAAATTATATGCATATATATATTTATTAATGACTGACTAAGAAAAGGAAGCGTTCCCACCTGTGGTCATATTCTGGGGATAATTGTGTTAAATGCTTGTCATTTTCCAGACAGTATTTTAGTTTTATGTTTTTCAGTTTCTCTATGGGCTGTTTTCACAATTTCCTAAACTCCACATTGCATACTATATATAATTGCCTAAATCCAAATATTATATAGTATAAAATACTTTTAATAACTTTAAATATGAAAAGCACATGGTGGCTGGGCACAGTGGCTCAAGCCTGTAATCTCAGCAATTTTGGAGGCTGAGGTGAGAGGAATGTTTGAGACTAGGGGTTTGAGACCAGTCTGGGCAACTTGGTGAGACCTCGTCTCTACAGTAAATAAAAAAATAAGCCAGGAATGATGGTGCATGCCTATCGTTCCAGCTACTTGGAAGGTCGAGGCAGAAGGATCGCCTGAGTCCAGCAAGTCAAGGCTGTGGTGGCCATGAGTGTGCCACTGCACTCCAGCCTGGGCAACAGAATGAGACTCCAACTCAAAAAAAGAAAGAAAGAAAAACACATGGTGTAAAGTTTGTTAGGATTTATTTACACTGTATTCTGTTAACCTTGCTTGAAGTAATCACCTGCTTATTTAAACAAAAAAATACAACAAATGGCTTGGCCAAAAAAAAAAAAAAAAAAAAGTTCAAATTTGTTGTCCTACAAGTTTAGTCTTATGAGAGAAATCTACTTGTGCACATTAATGCTTTAACCTGTGAACATTATTTAAACACAAAAACAAATCAGAAAATGCCAGTGTCTAATGTGCCTTTTTATTTCTCTGAAATTGAATCACCCAAAGAATTGTTGCACATCCTTAGCTGAACTATAAATTCCAAATCAAGGAAAATGATAACCTTCACAAAATTTCCAGGTCTAGATAACCCCTTCAGTATGTTTATTTATAAGTCTATTACTTCTTGTTTAGAAAATTTCCTTGACACCTCATGGTGTGTGTATTAAATTCTATTCCCTATACTTTGAGGCAGAGTCTAACTAGAACACACGCCTGGCAACTTCAGAGAATACGATATTCACTCAGCAAGAAAAATGCCTCCCATCAAGCAGCTTCCTGGATAATGTTTTATGAAGACGGTTTTTCACTGCTGACATGTTGGTGTCTGTTCTCAAATCCTCCTGCTGTTTTTCATAAAGGACACTTTAGTGTGGAGCTACTCTGAAACCAATGGGGCACTTGCTTTTGGTGGTTATTAACAAAAGACTTGCTTTTGCCATCTCTGAATTCTGTGTCATTGGGAGCACACTTTGTGCTGGCTTCAAGCAAGTGTGTAGTTACATGTTAAAGATCTACATTTTGGGCCAGCCATGGGGGCTCATGCCTGAAATCCCAGCACTGTGGGAACTGGAGATAGGAGGATCACTTGAGGCCAGGAGTTCAAGATCAACCTAAGCAATGTAGTGAGACCTCATCTCTACAAAAATCTAAAAAATTAGCCAAGTATAGTGGTGTGCCCCTATAGTCCCAGCTACCAGGAAGGCTAAGGCAGAAGGATCATCTGAGCCCAGGAAGTCAAGTCTGTGGTGAGCGGTGGTTGTGCCACCACACTCTATTCTGAGTGGCAGAGTGACACCCCGACCTCACAAAAAAAAGATACATATTTTGTTATAAAAAAATTATTCATTAATAATGTTTAAAAGAGTCCCATATGTGAAAAAAAGCTATCTACAGAGGCATTTATTTACTTGGGAATACTCAGAACTGAAGCTTAACAAAATTAATTAGCATGTAGATTTAAATTTCTCACAAATTTCATCTTGATTTTAAAGTCAGTGAGACTATTTTACAAGGAAATGACATATTGTTACCTATTCCAGGGTTGTTATTTTACTGTTTACTGTAGTTTTGAAATGTTTTCCAATAAAGCTAGTTCAAGACAAAGAACCACCCGTAAACCAGCATGTCACTAAGGGAGTGGACTCCTGTTTTGAATAGACCAAGAATCCCTTCAGTTTACAGTAAACCATTATGACTTCAGCTGAATTACGGATACTTCAGTTAATGCTCTAGAATAATTAGATAAAATTATCTTTCAGTGGTTTTTCTAAAACATAGAATTAATTTACACATATAAACAAAAGGAAGAATTGGCTTCCAAGTGACAGTGCAGACTCAGCTTGTTCCTGTATAAATCACTGTGAGAGGTTACTTTCTTTTTTTTCCTTGCCCTAAATTTTACCTGTTAGCTGTATCGATATTATATCTTCTTAATCAAGTCTTGATTATGTGGAGATCTTCAGAAACACACATTGATCCAAGGACCTGATGAAAATGTATGCTGAATTGTTTAAAGAAAAAGAATACAGTATAGATGAAAGTGCTAAGAAGTGACTGTTTATTAAATTTATTTCATCAATATGGTTATCAATCTCTAGAAAGTTGAGCTTAAAAGTTAAATTAATGTTACTAGCCATAAAAAATAAAAATAAATAGTGAAAATCATTAAATAATTTTTTAAAAATTACTAGTCCTTAATTAGAATGTGAGCAGCTTTTATATTCTGTGCCTGAATGTCTCATAGTATGCTGATTTATTTCTAATACTGAGCCTTCTTGCATTTAAGCAGTGATGTACAAAATGTAATTTTTAAGGTAGCACTTAGCAACATTCGTGAAAGTACTTAGCAACTTTCACTGAGTTATTCATTCTGGGATACGGAGGCTTCAATTTCTTTCTATCTCTTTGCATCTTATTCAACAGATAGTTGCTGCAATAATGGCTATTACCGGCATCGTCATGATGGCGTATGCAGATAATTTCCACGCTGATTCCATCATAGGAGTAGCATTTGCAGTGGGCTCAGCCTCTACATCTGCATTATATAAGGTATGCTGTGCACTTTCTTCTGTTGTCAGCTGTCACTTATAGCTTAGACTTAAGTATTAAAGTAAGAAAATACAATGAAAACCTTGGTTAGGAAAAATATAGATGTTTTATCAGTACAGAGATGGGAACAACAGATGCTGGACACTGCTAATGGATGGAGGGAGGAGGGATAAGGGGCACACTTCCAGACATTGAGTACCAGGTCCTCTACCATGGAAGAGAGGGCTTCCTAGAAGCCCAAACTTCATCAGAACGCAATTTGCTTATGTAATAAATCCTCACATATATCCCACGACTCTAAAAAATAATAATAATGAATAAAATAAAATGAAGGCAATACTAAAACAAACAGAACATAGATGTGTTGAAATAATAGTAAGTAAATCGAGTACTTAATGTGTTGGGCACCTGCCAAAAAATTTTGCTTGTATTAGCACCACTTCATGAGGCATAAATAAACTTATTCCCACTTTCCAGATGAGGAAACTGAGGTTTGGAAAGATTAAGTAACTTGCCAGAAGTGATACAGCCAAGAAGTGATCCAAGATTAAAACTCTCAACTAGCCAACTCCTAAGTCTGCACACTATGTTGCAGCCCTCTTGTTATCAGGCAATTATTCGACATTAGAGGCTTCTCCTCTCCCTATGCTTCTTTAATTATCTGCAGTCATTATTTTAACTCAAAGGTGGTGTTAGAATAAACAACCTGTTGTTTGAGACCTCGCTTCTTGCCACGTATTAACCCCATGCCATAGGAGCTCATGTTACTAGAAAATGAAAAACCTCTTTTTCTCTCTGATGGATGCTCTGAGTGTGCTGTGTGTACCTCCATTCTTTCTCCACTGGAGTTCCCTGTCATCAGTGAAAATTCTATTCAGAATCATTGCAGCTGACTTCAAAAGTCAGGACTAAGAGCAGATCTAAAAGGTTATTCCCCAAAGCTCTACTTTTAAAAGCCAACTTTCTGGATGTATTAAAGAACTGTTCCAGTTTCACCTCTCTTGGTATTTCAGTGAGAAAGACAGTCTCTGGAAGACAAAAAGTACCCTTTTCATCCCTCCTGGATGCCTGTTCTGATTATTCAACCAGCACTGTGGCTCAGAGGGCATGAAATCTATTTCCATATTGACATTTCCTGGCGCATTGATTCTGTGTGACAAGCTTGACAAGTGTTCACTCAGTGACCATTAGTGTCTAACTTGCTTCCCAGCTGAGATTCCACCAAGATGTCTGATGTGACCAAAGACTAGCACATACTCAATTTCTGCTGATTAAGTTTTTCAAGAGAAAAAGTAATATGTTCAGTTTAAATTAAAAGTAGGGCCTAGAATGTAGCCAGGATGGCTAGATTATAGAGAGATTTCTCCTGATATGGTTAAGGAATATATTCATTCAAAGAGTGATAATATTTGCTGGCATGCACAAAATCATACCTGTACAATAATTCCAGGCAGAAAAGATCTCCCTTACATGTTATAGGATTAGTATGTTCTGTGACCTTAGTTGACCTATTCATTTATCCTTGCCATTTTCCTCTGTACATAGTTTTATAATCCAGAAAAAAATTTAATCAGGAGAATAAACAAAATGTTTGTGAAAACACTTTAAGCTCAGAAAGAAAATTGCTTATAAATCCAAGGCATCATTACTGTTTCTCTCAACAACATAATGATAGGGTCTTTGTCCAATTTCATTTTCAGTATCTGTTGGAATAAGGGTGAAATGAATCCCATGCTTGAAGGGAAGAGTTGATGGCATGTCAATCCTAGAAGATTTTTCTGGCTTGTCTGCATTCTTATTTATCATTCACCCTATACCCATCACTGATGGTGGCATTTAACCCAATGTACAGTGCCCCGGCAGTTTTCAACACCATAACAAATTCATTTTATGGCACTTGCTATTTCATATGAAGGTTATATAGAGTATTTTAATGCCTGATCTCAACAGCCCATCTAGTGCCAGAGGGACGGCAGCTCAGGAAGAAATGGAGAATAAGCTCTGGGCCGGTTTGTTCACCGGGTTGATCAATAGAACTTTCTGCTCCTGCAAAGTCTGCAACTGTGTAGCTAAGGAGCTTCTTTCCCATTCCAGGTTTTGTTTAAGATGTTTCTGGGAAGTGCCAACTTTGGGGAAGCTGCACACTTTGTCTCCACCTTGGGCTTCTTCAATTTGATCTTCATCTCCTTCACCCCGGTCATCTTGTATTTCACCAAGGTGGAGCACTGGTCCTCTTTTGCAGCTCTGCCATGGGGCTGCCTCTGTGGGATGGCAGGGCTGTGGCTGGGTAAGTGGCCTCAGATTTTGCCTTACATTCCCTATGTCACTCAATCTTCCTTTGGATAGTTAAATTATCATGGTAGGATTATTCCCTTGGGCACCTCCGTGCTCTATTCCCCAAACTCACATTGGTCAACATCATTGGCTGTTTAGAAGGTTCTCTGCAGGCTAGTGTTTGATTATTAGATCCTAGCTAGCCTACTAGCATTCCTCCCATGGGTTAAGTTGTGCAGTTGGAGGCCCAGGCCATTCTGCGCACCACTGGCTTTCAAGCAACCTCATCCATTCTTCCTTATATACTGGGTGATGTTATTATGTTCCCTGTATGCCACATAACGTCAGACAGATGTAAGAGAGTGGATGCATTCAAGGAACTTGGAGTGGTTCAAAATGGTAGAAGCACTGGGTTCAGGAGGATGGAAGGAAATGCTACTTAAGAGGGAAGCAGGTTGGGGCTGGGTGCAGTGGCTCACGCCTGTAATACCAACACTTTGGGAGGCTGAGGTGGAAGAATCACTTGAGGCCAGGAATTTAAGACAAGCCTGGGCAACATAAGGAGACCTTGTCTCTACAAAAGCTAAAATTAAAAAATTAGCCAGATGTAGTGGTACACATCTGTAGTCCTTGCTACTCGGAAGGCTGAGACAGAAGGATCGTTTGAGCCCAGGAAGTCAAGGATGCAGTGAACTGGAGTTGTGCCACTGCAATCCTGTTTGGGTGTCAGAGGATTGGGAAGGGCCTGGAAAGCCATGGTGAGGTGTTTGAGTTTAAAGTCTCCTTAATAATCTTTAAGCAAAGGGAAGACAAGCTCATATACATGTTAAACAGCTTGCACTAGCTAAGGATGGAAGAAGGATTTGTGATAGGAGGTCATCACCAGTTAAGAGAAGAACACAGCATGCACTGGGCTTGGTGTTCTTGGTTGAGCTGACTATGCCTAGTCAATGGCCAAGAAAAAGCCAGCAGGAGTCCTTTTAATGTCTTCACCCCCACTTCCCGATAACTGAAACTGGCTGCTTCACCTGAGCTCCAGGCTCCAGCTTTCAAGCTGTGCTGCTGCTGTCACTTGATGTGAGGCAGAGCCTGAAAAATAACAAGCCAGCTCTTCTCTCACCAAGGAGTCGAAAAACAGCAACAACCCAATGACTCAATGTCTGTTTACTCAGAATCAAATCATTTTTGTTTCGCTCTCCTTCCCACATACTACCTAAGGTCAGCCCCCTCTGCCCACTGCCCATTGTCCACACTCGACCTGCGGGATAGCCACCAACCCTCAGCTGACCTTCTTCACTGAGGTGATATGATTTGAAATAGTAGCAGCACTGCAATTCCTGGGAGAAAAAGGTCCTTATTTTCATTCCCACAAGGATATTGATTGGATCATCTTTTTCCACTCCAGCCCAGGCCCCTCAGGAGAGGTCTTAAACAGACAGGAAACACTCAAGAGACGAATCAAACATAATTGCTGATCCCTTGAGTTCTACTTTTCAAGGCCAAAAATGTGTGGTTATCACCTCTCATAACCTCTGCTAAATTGAAAAGAAATCAATAGCAGTGTTTCCATAACACTGAAACCTCCTCTTTAAAAGCACCTAGATTATTTTCTGGCCAGGAACTGCCTAACTGGAAACAATCAAAGTCAAAATTTCATGATTGTCCCCCTCCCTTCGCCCCTTCATTGCACGCATGATTTCTACCTTGCCATAGCCCTCCACCATTGAATATTCTTTGGCATGTCTAATCCTGTTCCCAGGCAGGTCTGCTGAGGCTGGGTGCCACTCATGCTGGCATTCTCCACCAAGCAACGTGGTCTCTACACTCCACTGGGCATCATGCCAGTCAGCACTGAGCTCTATGAGGTCCATCCTCCAGAGTTCAGGGACACTGCCCAGTTCCTGTGCCAAAGTTGTGCTGTGACAAATCAGAGAGCTCCTCTCTTGACTGTTACACACCCCGTGGTTTTAGGATCTTCAGTGCTCTCATTCCTAAGTTTTTATTTCCATCCCTCTCTTCTTAGGAATCAGATATGATCTAGTTGGGGGCTGGGTTGAGAGACAAACAGCAGTTTGTGCTCTCAACCACCGCACATCTCCTATAAACATGACTGTGTTGTTTACTTGCCTCTCCTTCTCTCAGGTTGACCTATCTTCCAGAAAATATCTTAACCCACATTTAGGTTGGCTTCATTCACTCCCCTAGGAATGTCTGAATTACACTTAAACTCAAGTGGGGTCCCATGCTTTGGATAACACATAGAATTACATATTTTTTCCCCATAGATTATCAAAGAGAATGTAAGTGTTCTTTCTAAAGATCTAAAGAAAAACAGACAACGTATTTCAATGAGTAATCTGGCTCTTGTTGAGTGAGAAGGGTTCAGTTCTCCCTAAATACCAATGCTTCCATTCAGTCTGAAAAATATCCAGTTCAGCCAATAAAATAACAGATGAAGATTTCAGCAGAGCCTGTGCCGTGTTAAATAAATTTCCAATTTGTTAGAATTTACCATATTTGACTCCCTGAATCTGACGAGAGTGTCAAGGTGCTGGAATCCTTCTCACTGCATCTTTTCCATGAAGAAGGAGCAGTTATGAACTTAGGAAGGGCCTTTGTCTTGATTGTCACTACTACTGAACATCATAGAGGAGCCCAAGTCTTGAGAAAGTCAAACCCATTGTTTCTAGCAAGCACAAATAACTCCAGTGGGCTTAAAGTAGGAATCATAGATATAATTATATATCTATATATATAATTATAGAAGAATACACATTATCCTAACAGGAAGGGTTCTAGAACTTTCTTTGGTTCTACAGCAATATAGGCAACATATTTGAGTCATTTTCATAAAGATTTTCTCTGAACTGAGGACCTTTTATAGTTGCTAATATTTATTTCTCAGTCAGGCTTGGTGGCTCAGCCTGTAATCCCAGCGCTTTGGGAGGCTGAGGTGAGTGGATTGCCTGAGCCCACAATTCGTGACCTGCCTGGGCAACTTGGCGAGACCTCATATCTACAATAAATCAAAAATTAGCCGGGTGTGGTAGTGTGCACCTGTAGTTTCAGCTACTTGGAAGGCTGAGGCGGAAAGATCGCCGGAGCCCAGCAGGTCGAGGCTGCGGTGGCCGGGAGCAGCCATTGCACTCAAGTCTGGGTGACAGAGTGAGACTCCAACTCAAAAATATATATATTTGTTTCTCTAACCTCTGAAATAAACATTTGATTGAACTCTTTTAAAATAATGCTCTGTAATTTATATTTTTTTTATTTTTGAAGACATGTTTTTGAGAATTTTCAAAGAGGATAAATAATTATTTTAACTAATTTTATATTTAACTAAAGATGTCCAAAGGTGTTAAAGAGCATCAGACTACACCCTCAGTTGGCTCTGGAGACCTACCCTCTGGTTTTCTATGCACAAATTCAGGATGTGGAAAGAGTACATGAAATTAAGTGAATTACCTTGAGCCCACCTTTGCTTGCCTGTATGATGCTCACCTCAAGAGAGAGGGGATAAAATGGCGTAGGCTGACATTGGATAGACCTTCCTTTAGGTAGTAACACTAGAACATTTTAATGTCCAAGAGTATGGCATACAAAAGCAAAGTCAAAAAGAGATAAAGCACCAAACTTCAATCAATCACTTGCTTTTAACCTCTGACTGGCCCCAACATACCTTTGTACTGCTAATAAGCAGTGTAGTGAATTGATTATTTTATCTCTTTGCATTGCTCTATACACCTTTTGCCAACCAACTGGCAAGAGCTCAGGCAACCAGAGTGGCAGAGGAGAAAAAAAGAATGACTAATTCAGGCAAGATGCACATACACCCATCTCCAAAATGAGAGGATTAATTGACCAAAGGTGCAAACAGTTTTGAATGCCCATTTAAAGACATTGATTATTTTACCATGAGAACAAAAGAGCCCAGCATAATAATTTCCCTTCATCCTGTATATCCTCCTTCATTTTACAGCCTTCAACATCCTGGTGAATGTCGGGGTGGTGCTGACATACCCAATCCTGATCTCCATTGGAACAGTGCTCAGTGTTCCTGGAAATGCAGGTACTGGTACGATTTGACATGTGCAGATTCTGACCACCACAACATGTCTCCTGCCATGTTTGTTCTATGTTCTGAGCTGTTCCTCCTAACAATTGTGAATTATGTCCCTTGCCTGGAAAGATGTTTTCAAATATCATGAAGGTGGCAGACAACAGAATAACTATGCAGCAGATTTAAAATTTGCAGCTACAAAAACACTGTTTTTACTTGGTTGTGCTTTTAGAATTGAATACCAAATGTATCATTTGAGTTTCATGTAACTCCCTGACAACCTAATTTTGGTGTATTTTTAGAGGCAGTCCTGTGGAAACAAAAGGCATCCCAGCATAGGACTTTCAAGTGCACATCACTAATAAAAAAGTAGGAAATGTACAGGGTGCTGGTTTCTCATCAGACTAGCTGTGGGGAACTGAGGAAGCTTCTCCTGGGGGCAGAGCTGATGGCCCTCTGGAACAGATATAAGGAAAAGCAATTTGACTCACTTCGGGAAGAAGAGGGGAAGCCATTTTTCCAGGATAATCTTTCTAGTGAAATTGCCAGATAGGTTATCTAGATGACTGTACAGTCCTTCTGTCTTTAAGATTCTATGATTTCAAATCTTGCATACTCATTTTTCTTTCCTCTAGGATAATCAAGTGTTTATTGAGCACTTATTATACGATCAGGGTTGTGAAAAAAAAGACAAGAAAAAAATTATGTGGTTTTTCCCTTAAGAAACTTACAATGAAAAAATTAAAAATTTAAAAAATTTTTAAAAAGAAACTTACAATGAAATTTGGAAAAGGCCTGGACAACATGGTAAGACCTCATCTCTAAATAAATCAAAAAATTAGCCAGGTATGGTGGCACATACCTGTAGTTACAGTTATTTGGAAGGCTGAAGATGAAGGATCACCTGAACCCCGCAAGCAGGTTGAGGATGTGGTGGCCATGAGCATGCCACTGCACTCCAGCCTGGGCTACGGAGTGAAACTCTGACTCAGAAAAAAAAAGGATTTGGAAAAGATCAACCTTCATGAAACAACTTGTGACTCTACAAAGTAGAGTCTCTTAATTGCCAAATTGTATGAGACAGACTCCAGAGGCTATAAGATGTTTATAGGAAAGAAATATCAGAGAGGAGTGGAATTGTCAATAAAGTTCATCCATGAGTTCATTCGTTCAACAACATAATTTCTGAGCACTTAGTATATGCCAGGAACTGTGCTAACATTGGTGCAAGATCTTGAATAAGCACAGTCCCTGCCCGCAGGACCACACAGCATAGGGAGGGAGAGTAATTACAACATATAGAGAAGTACTTTGATAGAGGTATGTACTGAATGCTATGAGTCCCTAGAAGGAATATCCAAGAGGCTTCCTGCAAGAAGCCTAAAGGGAGAGATCTAAGGGAAGGTTTAGCTGGATGAAGTGGGATATGAGGAGGGAAGGGCATCTCATGCAAAACAGAACAGTGTGCATATACCCAACAATCCCACTCCTGGGCATATAACCAAAAACACTGAAAACAGGGATTCAAACATACCCTTTGTACATGAATGTTCATAGCAGCACTATTCACAATCACCAAATAGTAGAAACACCTAAACGTCCATCAACAGATAAATGGATAACCAAGTTGCAATACATGCAATGGAATATTATTCACTCATGGAAAGGAATGAGGTGCTGACATGTGCTGCAACATGGATGAATCTTGAAAATATGATGCTAAATGAAATAAGTCAATCACAGAAAGTCACATATTATTTGGTTCCATTTGGATGAAACATTCAAAGTAGGTAAATCCATAAGGGGGAAAAGCAGATTAGTGGATCTGGGGAGGGGAGCTAAAGGACTGGGGTGTAACTTCTTAATGGGTATAGGGTTTTATTTTGAAGTAATGGAGATGTTTGGGAACCAGATAGAGGTGATGATTGCACAACATTGTGAAGGTACTAAATGCACTAAACTCACTTTAAAATGGTTAATTTTATATTACATGACTTTTACCTCAAATTTTTTAAAAGAACAGCCTGCACAAAGACCTAGACACAAACAAGTCTGGCTCTTTTGAAAAATATCCAATGGTCCAATGAAACAGGAGAAGGGTGAAGGGGTGAAGGGGAAAGTGTTAAGAGAGAAAACTGGAGAGGTTATGAAGTCAAATTACAGGGAATTTGAGCTGAGCCTTGAGGGATAAATATGATTTAGAAGAAAGGAATGGAAAGCAAACATAGGTAACGATATGAAAAAGGAGACACCAACTTGAAAGAGTAAAGAAGTTTTGGGGAATCTCTAGACATAACATTGACTTTGGTCATTTGTGTTTAGAGAAGTAACCATTGCAGACTGTGACTGATTTGCTTTTTCTTTCCTAGCTGTGGATCTTCTAAAGCAGGAGGTGATATTCAATGTTGTGCGCCTAGCTGCCACCATCATTATCTGCATTGGATTTCTGCTGATGCTGTTGCCTGAAGAGTGGGATGAAATTACCTTGAGATTTATCAACAGCCTGAAGGAAAAGAAGAGTGAGGAGCATGCGGATGAAATGACTGACCCCAGTGTACACCTGCGAGGCAGAAGCAGAGCCAATGGGACAGTGTCTATACCACTGGCTTAGAGAGGGACACATTTTGAATGCACGTGGATGTATATTCTGTGAATATAACAAAATTTTCTCACTACCTGTACTCTCAAACGACAGTATTAACTCTGAATTTGGATAAATTGTATGTGAAATAATGCCAACAATAAAAGTTTACATTTATATGCTTACCAAGGAATTGGTGTAAATAATTATAATAAATTTTTTTATTAAAACATGTTTGTCCTTCTAGTTCTTCTGATTTTTAAAATTTCCCCTCAACTCAAAATTACCTGGAAATATGAAATTCAGTTAAATCTTGGCCTTATCATCTTTTTCTCAAATGGAACTGAGATCTTTTCATTCAATCAGAAAAAGTTGTCTAAGAGAAAAACACATGAAAAGAATACACACTTTATATTTATTCAAATCCAACAAGGGCCTGAAAATTTTAAAGCTGGAAAGTCATTGAACAAATATCAGCAGAGCATTTGCCATATGCAAGAACCACACTAGAAACAATGAATGTGAAGCTATAGAAGTCCTGCCTGTACTTCCAACGTGCTTGAAGTGTAAGATAGTTTATAAATATCCCTAATATGAAGTAGACATTTGAAAATGTCACAGGGGACACAGAGAGGACATAAGCCACTTCTGAAGTCCTCATCACCAAGTCTCTTTAAAAAGTTATTTAAATTTGCTGTCACCTCTTCTACTCCCATTCATTCTTCAACCCACTGCAATGCTCCTTCCACCTCCATCATTCCTCTGGAAATCACCAATGACCTCTCGCAAAATCATAGGATACTTTTCAACCCCTACCTTATTGTGCCCTCTAAAGCATTTTACTCAATGAGTATTCCTTTTTCCTAAAATACTCGCTTTGCTTGGATCCCATTACTGTCTCCTGGTTCCCTTTCTACCCCACCAGCTGGTCTCATTACCATCAGTATTCTGTAAGTTTGGTCCTTGGTCATCTTAGCATCTCACTCCACACTCTCTTCCTTTGGGGGCTCATCCACTCCCATAGTTTCGGCTGTTATCTACATGGTGATGACATTAACATCTTAATATCCAGCCCAGATTTGTCCCTTGAGCTTCATATCTGGCTATTCAAATGCTATCTGCAGCTCATGTGGATGTCTCCGTGTGCACTTCAAATATGGTAAAAACAAAGTGGAATTTCTTACCACTACCCCCATGCCTATTCCTCTTCCTTGTTCCTCATCTAGATTAATGGTACCATCATTCACTAGCCACCCAAGCCAGGGGTCAACCTCACATCTGACTTCTCATCCTCTACATCTGCTTAGACATCATTAGACATTGTTTAATATGTTCTATTGACTGTTTCTTAATATTTTTTGAGTCTATACTCCTTTCTCCTATACTACCTATTCTAGGCCTCCATGATTTCTTGCACTAATTAGTCCAATATCTGTTTACTGATTTCTCTAATTCCTAGCCTTGCCTCTATCTAATCCTTTTTGTGCCTATCACATACATCTGATCATTCTCCTCTCCTGCAACAAATGCTTCAGTGGCATCTCATTGGCCCCAGAATGAAGTCCAAACATCTTGGCATGCCATTTAAAGCTCATCATCGACTGGCCCCTGCCAACCTTAGAGCAGAAACATCCAATAGAACTTCCTGTAATGATGGAACTAGCCCATATTTGTACTCTCAAATACAGTAACCACAAGTGACTATTAAGCACTTTCAACATGGCTAGTGCAATTGAGGAATTGCATTTCTAATTTTAATTTCAATTCATTTAAAATTAAATAACTAAATGTGACTATTGGCTACCATATTGGACAACATAGCTCTAGAGCCTCATTCTCCCACACTGCTTTCTGTGGATCCCTGGAATCTCTACACTTCTTGCCACTTCTCTACACTTCTTGCCACTTCTCTACACTTCTTGCCATAGTCTTGCCATAGTCTCAATCAAGTCATACTCTCTTTCTTATACTCTCTTTCCCTGTCTCATCACTTGAGTAACTTTTATACAGGTCTCATGACACTATTTATAACTATTTTCCTAGGAAGACTTTTCTTATCCCCCAGACTGAACAACATGACTTTCTTAGCAGTCTTTGCTTACTCCCACGGAAGCACTGGTCATTATCTGTGGTCTTGTTGGTCTACTTATCTGAGTCTCCAATAGACCATAAGCTTCTTGAAAGCAGGGGCTATGTGGCAGGGGCTATGTTTCCAGTGCCTAGCACATGTAGATGTTAAATAAATGAATGAATGGGTAGTTTTATACAGGTGCTAGGTCCCCCACCTTCCAAACTGTAATAGATCAGTCTTAGTTAAGACAGTCAAGCTCATAGATGAGACTGGTCAAAGTGAGAACTGAAAGGAGTTGGATGTACCATAGTCTTTGTCGTGTTTCCATAAAATACCAACATGTTGAATTAATAAAACACACTCCATTCCTAAGAGGCGGATAGGACATCTAGCAATTTAAGATACTCTAGACTTTGTGGGAAATTTAGTGCAAGAAGTAAAGCCTTGTGACATCTGTTTTACTATTCTTTTTTTATTCAAATGTCCCTAAAAGCATAGGTGAGACAATCACAAGGGGAACTCCAAATATCACCCTCACTGGCTGGCCATCATGGTAAATAAAAACCTTAATGTGTTGAGACTTTGATTTCACAGTCATTTTTTAAAAGGCAATGCCAGTCTCCTGGCATAGATGGATGACATGATATTAATGAGAATAATAGCCATGATATAGTTTAAGCTTCATGAAAAATGGTACAAAGTAAATGAAATATGGCATTAGTAAATATTCATAAATTAATTATTTAAGTAGAGTTAGTTTTGACTATTTAAATGCCATATTGGTACAAACATTGCTCTTGCCTTGCTTTTTAAATGACTGTTAAGCAGTAGTAATCACTGACTAGCCCACTCTAACCTCTTGCCATTACTTAACATGACATTTAAAATTGCATTTTGATGTCTTTAAGAAATGAGTTGTTTTACTCTTTTTGATGATTCACTTTGAAAAATGGAGTTAGCTACCCTTGAAAGCACTAATTCAACCTATGACTGATCACTGTAATTAACTCAGTCTATATTAAGAAAACATTTTCGCTATGGTATTCATTTATTCATTCAAAAATTAATAAATTCTACTTCTGGTTTTGAAGTAGGCATTATGCTAAATTATTACCAACTGATCCTTGCTTTCCTCTGGAGCAACACTGTCCAGTATAAATTTCTGTGATCATAGAAATATTCTCTATTTGTGCTGTGGGTGGGGGATACAAAAATATATATGAAATGGCCCCTGCTTCCAGGAGCTTGCAACCTTTATTGGTAATTCGTCACTCTGACAATTAAAAAAACAACTCAAAAATTTATTTAAATCAGCTTTAGAAATTGAGATATTCCCTTTAATTCTGGTAAACAAAAATGAATATAATAATGTCTTCCTTGTTGCCTCTGATGATCATGGTGAGAAATCAGATGGGATGATGTATTTCAGTCACTGGACAAATATGGTTTTGCCTTCTGTGTGCCTATGTTGTACCTTCGATGAGCCAGATTCATTTGGGCATGGAGGACACTGGAAGGAATGAGACAAATTCCCTGCCCAAGTGGGTGGAAGCATCTTGTTAAGATACCTTGCCTCTTCTCAAAGTCCAGGAAGGAATGGCTTCTGTGAGTAACTGAGTAACTAGCATAGGGACAAAGAGCAACCCTGACTCTGCACTTCTTCGAGGTGTGACTTTGGCAAATTATAAACTTCTCTCTGCCCCCCAATTTCATCATCAGCAAAATGAGGATATTAATAACTATCACTTGGGATTACTAAAAAATAAATAAAATGAAGTACCATACATAAAATTCTTAGCACATAGTCGGACAGTCCAGAAGTAGTACAGTTCAGATTTCCTCTACTGTTTCCCTCCGAGTCCTTATTCAGAACTTTCGCACACAGAAGTGGCCCCCATACCTGTCCTTCTGACCTCCCTTTTCACAGCTCTGGGTCCCAAGAAGTCACAGAACCTAGTGCCAAGCAGGGACTTTTATCCAAAATAAACCAGACAGGTAAAAGAGGCCTGGCATGAAGAACGCTCCAAGGAAGCAAAGAAGGATGTGCTGTTTCCATTTGCCTGTTTCCCCTGGGCACTTTGCATCACGGCATTCTCGCCCAGTCAGTGGAACTAATTGCCTGACAAAAAGACAGACTAGCAACTTGGGCTCTGAAATTAAAATCACTTCAACCACGTCCTGATCTCTTCACAAACAGATTATAGGCAAATCAATTTTGCTCACCCAGGCTTTGCATGCCTGTTAATTTTGTGCAGGCACTTTGTCAAGATCCACCAGCGGACAAATGATTTGGAGAAGGACAATGCAGGAGATAAAAGCATGAACAGTATAACTAGCCAAACATTAGAATGTTTCTGATATGTAGGCACAAATCCTCTTTCTTACTTATCCATAAAGCCCTGTCACAAATACAAAGAACACCTAGTACAGGCCATGCCGGTTAATCTGGCAAGCTAGAACAAGAAATCTCTATTAATTCTAACTCTTATCATTTTTTTCTTCCACCTCTTTAGCAATTAAAGGTGAAGTGAGAAAAGGAGGTGTAGGGAGTAATGGTGTGGGATGCTAGGACCAAGAACCCAGAAGCAGAAAGAGCAGAAGCCCCATACTTTAATGCCCTTCGTTGACCAGTATGCCCTACACGTATACACAAACGCAAAGGCAACTTCATCACTGATTGCTGGACACAGGAGCATCATATCCTGTTGGAGCTTGAGGGATCTTAAGTGCAATAATTCTTTTTTTTTTTTTGAGTTGGAGTCTCACTCTGTCGCCCAGACTGGAGTGCAGTGGCCGCTCCCAACCACTACAGCCTCGACCTGCTGGGCTCCGGCAATCCTTCTGCCTCAGCCTTCCGAGTAGCCGAAATTACAGGCGCGCGCTACCACGCCCAGCTAATTTTTTATTTATTGTAGAGATGAGGTCTCACCAAGTTGCCCAGGCAGGTCTCGAACCCACGGACTCAGGCAATCCACTCACTTCAGCCTTCCAAAGGCGCAGGATTACAGGCTGAGCCACCGAGCCCGGCTAGGTGCAATAATTCTTAACTTGAAACCCAAGGATGGGCATCAGGGGCTGTTTCAAGAAGCCCCGATGAAGTTTTCAAAATAGCATGAACTTAGCTGCTTCATTTTGGAGAAATACATTCCAGGGATTCAGAGGCTCTAAAACC